TGTGAATAGGCCAGGGCAGAATGGGAGATACCATAACTGTTTAGCACACGTTTGGTCAAAGGATCGGCTTAATTGTCTCTTTGACGAGTTGTAATATGGTGCTACGAATAGTAAAACTCACTGACGATGCCGGCGAATTGTTTGGGAATGTACCGCGTCCACGGTCCGACTGAAAATAATTATGTATGCAATGGACTTAGGATAAGGCGCGTTCCTATAAGTCCTCCTACCATTATGACTAAGTTGCGAAAACAAGGTCAAACAACTTCTATACAACGGAAGGAGACTGCGACCACAAAAAAGGCCACACCATCTTAGTCTTCATACTTTCGATCACAATTTTTTACTTGTTTAACTAGACCTATTTAAAATCTATTTACACTCCTCTGGTTTTCTGATCCCTCCCAATTTGCTGGGAGTGTTGATCGAAGGCTGCGGTTTATTCCGCAATCCTCTCTCTTCAGTTCCCATCAGAGTCCCATTTTGCCCTGTAGGATCCTTCTCTTATCTGCCTGTTTCAGTGATTTCACCGCATCGCTGCCACCGTATCCGTGCTACTCACGGCATTTTTATAGACATTATCTATGTCTTGCATTTTTGTCCTATATTTTTCTAGTCTTTTCTTAACTATCAATAAATCTCATCTTTAAAAGTTTGATCCACCTTTGCCCATTACTTGTTTATTTACTTCCATGTATTTTTCTATCCACATTTACTTCTCTTGATCTAGGTGCCCCCTACCTCCCCTAACCGAAAAGGAGCTATCTTTAGCCAAGTCTTGTCCACTGAGACGAGACACACTTCCACAGGCGCGTATGCGATTAGCTCGACTTCGCTCTCAAGTCAATGCACGTCGTGAACTTGCCGTCTCACGAGCCCGAGCCCTTCAGGCATCCCGAGGTCTTGTCGATTTCGTTGGTGAATCTGCGAGAATATCAACCACATCTTCAGCTACCTCTTTGCCAAACACTAATAGCACAAGTAACCCTCTCTCTGCATTGCCCAACGCAAGCTTGGCTAAAATTGCCGTTTATACTAATGCTGCTACTGCTGTGACCACCACCTTCCCTTATCTGGTTCCTTCGGCTTCAGCTCCTATCCTTCTTAGACCCTCTCCATCTTCCTTAAATTCATCTAACATTACTTCCTCATCCTCATCTCTCCCGGCTTCCTTGACGTCGCCAGTGGACATTCAGGCACTTGGTGTGCCCGTGAATCTTCTATCCCCTGCATCGGATAGCCTTGCAGATACTTTCCTTGAGCGGACATGTGCATCAGGGCCTGCTAGTCAAACAGCGTCGAATCAGCCCATTTTTTGCTCTTCCTCGTCAACGTTGGGTATTCGAATGACAACTATTCAGGAGAGTAATCCAGTTATTTCTGCTTCTGCTAGGAGTTCACAGATTGGAAAAACAAAATGTTAGTCTATCCGTAACGAATTCATTTTTCTAAATTTATGACTATGTGGAAAAGTCACTGTCTTCGAAAACAACTTTTATACAGCTTTACGAATATTTTTACCTCTTATGTTTACGCTAAATTTAGATCCTTCAACCATTCAGTTATTTTAACACGATAGGCAAATTGATATGTAGATTGATACATGGCAGCTCATTTACTCTAAATATAAAAATTTTAAACAATTTGGTGGATTCATTTATATAATTGCGCAGGATTATAATTCTTGTATGTGTCGATACAAAAAATCCGCTTCTTATGAGAATAATTTTCTAAGAAATCTAAGAAATCATCCTAAATGTTTAAATTTTGCGTTTACTTTTTGCTGCG